CTTATGTTTTATGCATTAGAAGCAAATGTTACTTGCTTGTACATACTTTTGTTGGCTATTTTGTATTTGCAAAAAAAGAGAATGAGTATAGTTTTTGGTCAGTGAAAGATCTGTAGCAGATCGCTTGTGGTGTAACAAAATAGTTGTAGGACAAGCTGCCACAAGAGCACTGTACAAAAGACTCTGAACCTTCCCTTTTCCCGTGTAATATCCATTCTGTGTTTCGGTTGGGAGGGCGAGAGAGCAATCAGGTCGGGTAAATGTGACGTCACCATTGCTGAACTACGGGTGAGAGGACCGCATCGTGCTCATTACGTTGTGTGCAAGCTAGTTAGTGGTTCGTGTTACTACCATAACGTGTTGTACTCCTCAGAGGTGTGCGTTGATGGCATAAATGGCATTTCCCTGACAGCGCTAAAAAGCTGTCCATGGTATGCTCGAAAAGATTTTCCAGAAATCAGTTTATAGAATCATGGCAGGCTACGGCCGGTCCCTCTGCTAACAGGGATCATCAGTTGCACAACATGTAAAAAATACTGTCCATACAGACCTGGCCCCTGATCCTCATTGTGTCTTCGGGTCATTTGTGTAATAATAATCAATAACTTTTAAAGCAATAGTCTGAAATTTTGGAAAAGCTCAGCATGACACAGAGGAACAACAATTGTGTGCAGTAATGGGTAAACCTGTATATAAATGGTTATGGAAAATATCCTGCTATTAGTTTACTTATTACAGCTTTTCTTGATTGCTTGGAAAAGTATGCCTCTTTTTCTTGAAACTCTAAACACAAATCCACAACTTCTTACCAAATTCCCTAAACATCCTATTTTCAGGTCAAAATGAAGCTTTCCACTCAAACCAATCTTGCTGAAAAACCAAACTTTGACCTCAGACATAACACAGGAGCCCTCAAAAAACACACAGTCTTACACACTGATGACAAATTCAAAACAATACTAGAAAAACTGGTTATTACTTATGTTGGTTGTGGTTCTCCCCCTAAAAAAAAAAAACCTTTTCACATGATGAAAGCAACAAAAGAAATAAGAAATGTAAACATTTGCACTTTTATTCATTATAGTGTATTGTACAACACCAAAAAATTATTCTGCCCCAGTGTCCTGTCTTTAGTCTGGGACAGGCCAGAGATTCTTGTTCTCCACCTCCTCCATACTCCTCTTCCTCCGTCCTGCTGACTCTGGCCCTTTTATCTGTCTATTGAAGCTTCTGATTGGTGTTTTATCAATTTTGACTGTTTGTGTTTCCACCTGGGTAGCTGTGTGCAAATTGACTGAACAATATTTACAGTTTAATTATTTACACACATTTTCTGAAATAATGCCTCATATTCTCAGAACTCTACACACATGGCAAAACCCCTCAATTCTCCTGCAAAATGAAACTTTACATTCAAAACAATGTTATTTCTTCTCAAAATGGTATTGTTTTCAAATGACACACAAATCATGAATAGATATTCATAAGAACCAGTTGAACACTGATGTGCTCAATGTAAAAACGCGATGATGAATGGAAAACACTTCTTCTCCATTCATCATCAGTTCTGACTTAAGCCTTTTTTTGTTCAGTGTTGCACTTACTACAGACAGTACATACATAAGTGTGTTGTAAAATATTTGAGAATATTTTTATACTCTGAACACACAAATACACGGTAAAATATATATTTTTTGTCCCAAAAATACCCCCACCATAATGTACATCCCATTCCCAAACACAAAGTTGCACATACAAAAAAGAAGAATTTACTGTACACAATTACAGTAAAAAAAAAAAAAAAAAAAAACAACCTAAAAACAAACTATGCTGCATCCTCTCTTCTGTTGCGGTCTGGCCACAGCACCTCATCCACATCACAAGCAATGTTTTCCCAAGCCAGCAGGGGGAAATATCACCTAGCATGGTGATTCCTGCCATGAAAAGCATCAGCTGCTATATCTCCACATGCATCCTCCATAGCTTGGAGAAGAGGTATACGCGTTTGTGGATTTCGGTCATACACTTTCCATCGCCAGGCAGAAAAAAATTCCTCAATAGGATTGAGGAATGGAGATATGGAGGGAGATAAACAACTAAAAAGCGTGGGTGTGCAGTGAACCAGAGCAGCCCTGTGGAAACTTACATTGTCATTTGGGACAATGTAAGCTGCTCTGGGCCATCTACCTGATCTGGTGGAATGAGTGTGTTGTGTAGGGTGTCCAGGAATGTGATCAGATGGGCGGTGTTGTAGGGGCCAAGGGTAATCGCTGCACACATTGTGATGTTCCCTCCGCGCTGGCCAGGGACTTCCAAAAATGGCATGCTGGCCGATGACATTCCTTCCCCTCTTTTGTCTTTTTGTGAGGTTGAACCCAACCTCATCAAAGAAGATGAACTGGTGCTCCACTGCAGCCACCTCTAGCTCAAGGACTCTCTGAAACACACATGACAATATCAGAAATAGACATGGAGTGGTCACTATTGTGAAGCACAATTATGATTACAATATTGAAATATGTATAATTTACTGTATACAGTGTTGAGTGTATGCATCAATTGTGGGACTCACTTGCACATAGTTATCGCAATTCTTTGACTCTCTGAATTGCGCTCAAATGGCACCCTGTAGACCTGCTTCATCCTGAGATGATTTCTGGACAAGACACGGTCCAGTGTCGATAAGCTTACCCTATCAATATTTTGAAACATGTCATTGTTTTCTATTATTTTTCTTTGTATTTGCTGTAATGTTATGGTATTGTTTTCTAGGACCATGTTTATGATTTCAGTTTCCTGTTCAGGAGACAAAAGACGTTCCCAACCACCTTGTGTTGGTAATCTTTCAGTTCTGCCAAACAAATAGTAAAATACTGTAAATACAAAGTAGGTATACATTTCCTAAATACTTGAAACATACTTTACAGTCCTACAGAACAGTCCACAGGCAATACTGTACTACTGTACTCATTGAGTACTGTATTGATATGCAATACTGCAATTTGCTAGAGAGAGTAGATTTCTTACCTATTCTCATTTCGGAAAGTCCGGATTATGGATGCTACAGTGTGCCTGCTCAGATTTGGCTGTAGTCTTTGCCCAGCCTCCCTCATTGTTAGACTATGGTTGACCACATGATCAACCAAAGTGGCTCGGATCTCATCAGAGATTACGGTCCTTGGCGGTCCTCGTCCTCGTCCTCGTCCTCGTCCTCGTCCTCGTCCTCGTCCTCGTCCTCGTCCTCTCACGCCTCTGGCTCTGCCTCTGTTTCCAATGTTGGCATCCATTGCTCCATTGAAGAGCTCACCTGTTGCCCTTTTATGCTAAAGCTCTGATTGCTAATTGGGAAACTGTGTGACGGGTGTTTGCCCTTGTGATGAGTCAGTGTGCATATTTGAATGGCAGTGTGTTCCTTGTGAAAACAAGATATTTTCTGCATGAAACTTGTGCCAAAAGCAGAGAATTGTGTGTAGTGTTTTGAAAAAAGTGTGTTTTAGAACTGCAATTTGAGTGTAAAGCAGGAATTGTGCTTGTAGTTTAGCAGAATTGGTTCAGGGGGGTGGTGAATGAGTTACATGTTGTGGTCATTGTGTCTCAAGTACCAGAATTTGTGTGTAAACAATTGAGAAAAACTGTAATGTCAGTGCTTTCTCAATGACCGCATGGTGTAAGGCAATAAGAAATGAAGGGATTTGTGTGTAGAGTTTAGAGAAATGGGTGCGCTTTTTGAAAAATGGAAAAATTTTAGTTCAATAGCCTGGTTATAGTGTTCAAGCAATTGAGAAAAACTGTAAGCTGCATGTCTGGAAAAACACTGACTACAGACCAACAACTAGAGGCACATTTCTTTAAAAGTGTACATTCATCCGGTTAACTGGTGAAAAACACATAAAAGCCCTACCCTAAAACATTTGCATGAAGAGAATGGAGCAGAAAGCATATAAAGTGGTCCTGGGCGCTTATTTAGTTTAATTCAGCTGTCAGTTCAGTGTTTGCTTCATCATGGCTTTTACAGGGAAATATGTGCTAGAGAGCCAGGAGAACTACAAGGAGTTCTTAAAAGCTCTTGTGCTTTCCTACAGAAATAAATATGTCAGCATTCTATTATCAAGCATGTGTTATTTTCTCTGTAGGAATTAAAGACGCCAAAGAACCCTACAATGTTGAAATTATAACAGACATCTACCAGAATGACGACTCCAGGTTGACTAAATTTCTGATGGACAAGACCTGAACCAACCCATTCCTCATTGGGAAGGAGAGTGAACTGGAAATTATGGATGGGAAGGTGTTCAAGGTCATGTCACATTTTAGTTTCTCATCAAATGTTTTATGATGTTTAAACACTGACTGCATTTGTTCCACTGCAGTTTGATCATACTTGTTTTTGTTTTATTTAGACCACTGTCACGGTGGATGGGGGGTAAACTGAAGATTTAGTTCCCTAAATATATTTACACTGGTGAGGTGGTTGAAGACAAGCTTGTTGAGGTGAGCATATCTACACTGGTGAAATTTGTGTGCAGAAAGGTGTATGTGCGTGCCAGCAGCTTTTTAAAATAGCTTTCCTTTTTCCCTCACTTTTTGATGGGTCAACACCATTGGTGCCATTACAAACTAGTGGATCTGAATCAACACTTCAATACAAACTAAATGAGGGAACACAAAAGAAAAATCTCTGCAACTGGAATATTACTAGAAAACCTTATAGACACTATATATGTATTTTCTGCTCATTTGAGGTAAAACTGACCGAAGGATCTATTAGCAGGGTGCGTCTGTGTCAAAAATATCAGTTTGTAACCTACACATAGATTCTTTAACCATTAAATTACTCTAATGCCAAATCAATCCTATCTTTTAGTATGTCTTTGCGGTGAGTATGTGAACAAGTTACAAAGAAATAGTTTTAATATTTAGACTTAAAATGTCAGATACAAGTAACACAACATCAATGATGTGAAACAAGTAAAAGAAAATGCCCATTATTGCTTTGCAAATCAGGCTATATTTAAAGTGACTTTTATTTGATCAAACTTGAACACAGGCAGAGGTGAACTGTTTCATCCTAGCAGGAATACAGTACATAGTGTGGCCTAGTTTCACCATTTCTGATAAGTTAGATCTCAAAAAACTAAAACAAAATACAGTCCAGTGAAGCCGAGATATGTTCCACTTCCTCCTCACTACAGAATGTGACTTTGTTCCTCTTGCTTCAGTAACTTGAGCAAGCAATTTCACAATGTCTCTCACTCACTTCCTTTGAAGCATGTTGAGTCTCGCAGCATTAGATCCTCTTGTTAATTCTTTTGAAAGTCACGCCCTTCTCCCCTGGAATTATGCAATTCTAGAGGACACAGTGTGCAAAGATAAAGAAGATTTGGGATGAAAATACAACAAACTACAATTTCTATTCAGGGTAATGAAAAAAAGTTTCATTCTCTTACCATTACTAGCTTATCTTCAATGAGCTCTGCTGTGAAGAGGTACTGAGGAAATTGGATTGAAATCTTGCCTCCTTCCATAGTGACAGGAGCCTGTAGGTCACAAGGACAAAAGGTCACAGAGGGAACAGCCAATGATCCTGCTCGCATGAAAGCTTTATGACAAGTTGCTGTTAAATGATAATTTTCAGCACCTGTTATTAACTTACCTTGAATGTGGAACCTGTCATTGTCGACAACTCACATTCCTGACCAATGCTGAACTTATTGGACCAGGTCCAGTTGGGGATGCTTTGTGTCCAGGTGAAGTTGTTTCCCTCCTGAACCACCTCTGTTACGACTTTGTGGTCTGTCTTGGCACTGAGAAGCCCTGTAGCAGAGCAGGTGAAATTCAAAATAGAGACATTCCACAATGTTTAAATAAAGGACGACTCACGTTTATGGCTTTGGTATCAACAAAATAAAAATCCTAATACCAATTGCTTGCAGAAACTCCTCATAGTTGTCTTGACTCTCCAGCTCATATTTCCCAGTGAAAGCCATGATGGTGAAAGAGAAAGGACGAAGTGAGGAAGGAGTTTATGAAACCAAAAAAAAAAAAAGAGGAGTGGCCTGTGACAGATACTCTCTCTGTTTGCTCTTCATTCCCTCTCCCTTACCATGTGTCAGCCCCACAGCAGTGTTTTTCCAAGGTGGATAATCGCATTGTTTTATTTTAGAATGTCGTAACTTGGCCATTTTTACCTGCTCCTGGCAGTGTCCGGTTTTTCCAGTACTTTGCAAGTTTGAGCACGTATGTTGCAGTAAAATACTGGTCACGTAACATACAGTGTGCCTTTTTACATGTTACCAACTAACCCTACCGCAATAGAGGTCATGTGGCTATTTTTTTAGTTTAATGTAATCCATTTCTTTCTTTCTTTCAGGCTCAGCACTGATTAATGACGTTAAGAGAAAATAGCATCCTTGAATTGAAGTTAGCACACAAACTGCGTGGATAACTACTTTAAAAAGGACCAAAACGACTTGTGTAACAAATAAACCTCCACCAGCATAGTTGTGCATACAATGAACATAACCACAAGTTACACTTATGGTATGTGGTTGAGCAATTTGCGTTTCAGCATTGGGAGTTCTCCTGTCTGTCAGTCTTGCATACACCGTAAACCCGAATACGTTCAGAATACACAAATTACCTCAAATTTTTGAAGTAGGTAATAATATTTTTGAGTAAACCTTAACTTAAATATAATGCATTTTTAAAAAAACTTTAATTTCCGCATACTAAATTGCATTGATTCACGCTTGCTTATTAAAATTAAATTCCACTTATTCTTTACTCAATAAATGTAATTGTGCACAACTTATACTCTGAGGGAAATCTACTCAAAAACATTAATTGTGCTAGACTCAAATACTAATGGAAACTCACTCAACAAAATTACTACTAGTAAACTTAAAATTTACAAAATGCCCATTTTCAGATAGTAGTCCTGAAAAATACAAATACAACTCCATTATTACAATTCAAGTTCAAGCTTTGTTAGTATAATTTTCTCACAACATCTTCTGTCATTTCTACATTTAACAGACACAAAATAAGGCACATCTTGCATAAAGCTGAATAGACTAAGTAATTGACTGCTTGATCAGATAATTAACCAGCAACAATTTTGATAATCAATTTGTTTTCATTCTTTTTTGCATTAATGTTGATTCTCTATTTCCAGATTCTTAATGAGATTTTTTGGCGTTAAGTGATAATAACTTGAATCTCTTGAGCTAAATCAAATTTCCTTTTACTACTTACTTTACTGTGTTTTGTCTGGAACAGGTCGCTGCAGGAGGAGGAAGTGAAATCATCTGCCTCCACAGTAATGTCGCCCATCAGTGTGTGAGTGCGTGCATACCTCATCTTGTGGACCTCGTCACAGGTGGCCTGAATGGCCAGTTCAGAAGTGCTTTCAGGAGTTTTTACATGAGTTACATTAACATTTACATTTAGCTGACACTTTTATTCAAAGCTACTTACAATAGCAATATATGTAAGACATCGCACGGCCCTGGAGCAACTAGGGGTAAAGTGTCCTGCTCAGGGACACATTGGTGGATGTGTCACAATGGGGAATTAAACCCGGGTCAACAAAGGTATGTGTCTTATCCAGTGTGCCATCACCACCCCCAGAGAAACAGACAAATCCATCCACAGCCACCTTTCACTTTGGCTGAAGCGGACTGCACCAGGAGCATCAGTGACCACAATGAGGAGGTTCAGCAATGTCTGGTTCATCTTTGCACTGCAAAATACAAACAATCCAATAATGAGGATAATTATAAAAGAATGATAGCACTGCGTGCTAATCGGTGTTTCTTCTTTGTTACACATTGAGTACACATACTCATTTTTTTCTAAAAGTACGCCCTGTTCAAAGACAATGCTACTAATATAAATACACACAGAATCAAAGCCCAGGTCTTGGGAGGTTTGGGAAACATTTTTTCATGAAAGGAGAAGTGTGGATTTGTCCCTAATTTCTAACAATTTGGCCATGCCTATGAAGGGGATGCTAATAGCCAACAGGAACCTTTTCACTGTACACATCATATTTTAGCATTGTTATGAGATAGACTATAAAAAAAATTCACCTCTGCCAGTGTTCATCTCTTTAAACCTGTCAGTTGCTGGAAGAGGTATTTGAGTTGGTTTTCCGTAGTACATTTCATTAGATTACATTTACATTTCACATTACTTGTCGATGATATTTACATTTCTGTGAGTGCACTGAGTACTTACATTGCAGGTTTTGAAGACATCAGTCATCCGCTAGCAGGTTCACTGGGAGGCCACGGAGGGTTGGATGGCATCTCATGTGTACCTCGTGTTGTTCCTAGATTGACAATCAAAATGATTATTATTATACAAATACACATCAAGCCATAAAGTGTAACAGTTCTACCAATATAATTCTAAAATAATAATAATATTGATAGCAATAACAACAAATCCATCCAGCTGCAACTACTAAAACACAAGTCAAATTTAAACAAACACAGTGACTCAAACAATGGGTGAGAAATAGAAGCTAACTATAACCTTAAACATGACAATAGAAGAGATTTGGAAGCCAGTGCAGTAGAGATGGAACCAAATATTCGACTATTCCTTCATTGGGTTGGTTTACAGTTTTCAGTTTTGGGATGTGGAGATTCGCATAAGCACCTACTGTTCTGTCCCACACAACACAGGACACACACCAGCTTGCACCGCAATTTCAGTTTCTTTCTTGCTGTATCATGCAGCGACAGACACATACACGCTGCTATCTGGCCGCTTTCAACTTTCATTGTCAGCCGTATGTTTTACTGCCCAAAAAACAAAGCTCATGTTTTGAACTTTTTCACCCACGATTCTGTGGTAACAACCGCAGGTGAACTGCTTGTGGAGAAGGCCTGTAGTACATCTCTCTCTGTGTCTCTGCAACTGTCAGTAGACCATATGGTGACCGATCATGGATGGAGTTAGTCTCTTAGACTAAAAAACAGACTAAAATAGAAAAGTCATGCTCAGCACATAAGATCTGAGCGAAATTGAGGACTTTTTGTCTTGGGTTATGTGTTCAGGGCAGGCCAAAAATTTAAAAATAAGCTTTTAAATGGCTTTTAAAGTAATCATGTACCGGAAAACTTACAAAAATAAATGCAAATGAGAAATGATAAGTGCAGTCCCAATCTTTATTATCTGACCATTATGTGATCAACATTGTTGCTACGGCAAAGGTAATCTTAAACTCACCTGAAGGTCATAAATCCTGAGGATCTCTGCAGGGCCTCTGCTCTCTTGGCCTTCTGCCTGTACAGGGCAATCAGTTGTGGTGTGTCTCTCTCAAGCTTGCAGTAGAATTGGTTGCATAGGTTCAACATTTGTAAAGCGATGAACTCAGCAAACACATAAATGTATGTAGATTAATGTTTTCCAACTTGGGGCTTGACAGAAAAACATAATGTATTACTTACTTGTTTTAAGCAGGATGGCTGACTATATGGCAAAAAGAATATAGTTTTTACCTGAGAAATGGACATGGACCACTGCACTGACAAGAAATGCAGGGTCATCCTGCAAATTTCTTTAACCTAACTTAGGTTTTGCTGCATCAAAATGAAAGATTATGTGGCTAAGAATTGAGTTAGCCAATCAAACATATTTTAAACTAGACTAATTGTATAATATTTCATCATTTAGCTTCTATCTGAAGCAACATTCCCACCAACACAGACCCTTGTGTTTTTCTCAACAGTGCCATTTTTGATCTGAACAGGGCTGAGACAGAATTTCAGTCAGGTACTAAATAGTTTAAGAACCATAAAGGAATCATTCCACCATCTCATCATAATTTCATAACAGCCTTTAACAGAGCTTACAGTGAAAAATGTTTACACTTAATGCTGTAATGGATCTACAGTTTTCTCAGCTTTTGATCACTGCCAATCATTTCTGAAAGAAATCTATGAGAATTTTAAATAGCTAAATATACATATTCATAATAAAATCTCACAGTCACAGCTGGACTAAAGCACTTTTCTAAAACAGTACAATAGTACAATATCCCCCCTATGTCTCAAGTCAGGGCTAAAATATCTTCCTTCATGTTTCAATGTCATCCACTGTGAAATGTTGTTGGCTCCAGTTCTAGCAATGTAGTATTTCTTATATCCTCAGTATGTCAGATTAGCAAGCCAGCAATTGATGTAGAAATATGCAAATTGATAACATACCTTGGATAGCTGTAGTGCCACTCAATACTCTGTTTGATCCTGCGAGAGCAAATATAACAAACAATATAAAGATTTCCCATTAGCCCAGTCAACAAGATCATCATCAAATGCTGATTTTCTTAAAAAAAAATTATATTATAAAATATATTTATATAAAATTATAATTTATCTGACACACCAATATCTGATCTGCTTTCGCAAGTCAGATGATTAAGGGCATGACAAAATTACTTCAGCATGAGCACACAATATATGAACACCAACTTTTGATTAGTTTACAAAATAAAGGCCATATAAACACTTCTCACTAACATGTGATATGGGCAGAGATTATTGTTGTGATAAATGTATTTAGTGTTTAAGACTTAGTAACCAGTTTATTTGGTACATCTAGCTAAATTTAATGCAGTCCAATCCAACATTTCAGCAATAAATCCTCCCTTCATAAAAATGATAATGTTCAGTTTTTGTTGCAACTGTATGATCGTTCTGGATCACATGGACCGGTGTTTCTGATATTTCGTCTATCCCATTTATATCAGTGAGGCCATGCTAAACAAAAAGAGACTCAGCTGTTTATAACGCAATGCAGTTCACCAGACCACAAACTACATCTGCCAAAATGAACAAATAATATTAAATTTAAATAAAATCTTAACATTCCTCACCAACTTTCATTACCACAGTGTAAAAATATTCCTTTACAAATACATATTACAGCCACTTGAGATGAGGCAACTTGTGTCTGCAGTTGAAGGGCTCAGGGGTTTATTACGTTCACCGCTGATAAAATAAAACACTCAGCCATGCGTCAACACTATTTCAGGATACATCTTAC